AGAGAGAGGGAAACAGAGAGAGCATACTCCAGGTTCTTGACCCTACAATCACTCCCAGCGTTGGCTAGTCCTGGACCACCGACAGGCACGTGCCCGGGGTACTGAGGGAGGTCTCCAGACTTGAACCAGGGACCTTCTCATGTGGGCTGCCTTGAAGAGCATCACATTTTACTGCGGCACCACAGCCCAGCCTCCCAAAGTAATGTTTTTGTTTATTTTGTTTTTCATTTCCAGAGGGGGTGTGTGTTCTCCAAAGAGAAACAGAGGGAGAAGAGAGAGAAAGCAAGTGCCCCCGATGGGCGTGGCCACACCACAGTCCCTCCTTCCGCGCCGCTCCGTCCTGCGGAGACTGGGGACATACGCACACATGCCTGGCGTGTGTCTCAAGCTGCTGGGTTCGGACTGGCACTTGGCCCTGTGGGATCCAGCTCCCGTAACCACTGGGCAGGCTGCAGCGCCAGCCCCTGAGGTTCTAATGAGTATGATCGAAGCGAGCACTCCAAACTGTGGTTTTAGGATTTTAATAAGACGAACGACGTTAAAGATCACATAGAATCAACTGGCTGAGCTGTTGGGGCAGATAGTTTAACTATTTGAGAACAACAGTGACGAAAAGGATTACTGCCTCACCAGGATAAACTCCAATGGACGGAAAATCTAAGTGCAAAATGCGGAAGTATAAGTGTAACAGCAAGAAGAATCGGAACTCAGATTCAACGCTTGCACGTTTCTTTCTTTGTTCTTTTTACCAGGTACTACTTTGGATTTGGGGACTGGAACAATAAACACGAAAATGGCTCCTGATTTAAAATGACCTTTCATCACGCCGAGAACGTGCTTGCTCCCAAGCACCTGTGTGAGCGGCCGCTGACTGCTTCTGCAGAGTCACTGTGAAGGATTGATGCCTTCCCAGGAAAAGGCTGAGCTGACATACAGACCCACGTCACAGAAGGCCGGGCTACAGCCAAGGATCTCCGTCCACTCTAGACAGAGCAGAAGCCCTCACTGATCCATGACTCAATGGCTGGGCATGCGTAAGAGAGGAAGCCCTGCGGAGCTGCGTGGTCACCGACCTCCCAGCGCAAGTCCCACTGGACAGACTGGGTGGGACGATCCCAGTGTCCAGGGGTGAGAAACTGCAGCTGAGGTCTCAGGGATACAGCCAGGCCAGCTGGCACTGCAGGCTCATGGCAGTGGGGTAGCAGTCCCTGAGGGGTGAGATCTTCTTTAGCCAGAATGCAGCCACAACCCTGCAACCTCGCAACCCCGCAATCCCCATCAATGAGCTTCCCCCAGGGAGTCCATCCGGGTGCTCTCAGCTGCGCACACCCCTCTAAGCCCATGCCTAGTATGCAGATACAATGGGATACACAAGGCAAGGGGCTTTTCAACAAGTTCACAGAAAACGTGTACTACGAAAGAGCTCTGCGTGGATTTCAAGTTTTTTGTACTAACATAGACTTACTGCGTTGCTGGACAAGCCAGGCCTTTTTTTCCCGTTTTTCTATGCAAAAATGCATCATGGCTTTTCCGACAAGCCAAGACCTTCGTCTTATTTTTCTGCAAACATTTTGAAGTCCGCTCGAATTGTTGGGTGACATACGCTGGCCCACCCGCCTTCCAGGTCTCCTAGCAAAGGGGAGGTGGGCCTGGAGCCGCGGGGAGACCGGGCGGCCCGTCGGGGCACCCACTCACACCCTGCTTCTGCTCAAAGCCACGCCCCACATCACATGTGTCTTTTTACAGCTGCAGAAGAGCAGGTGCTATACGCATATACGGATCGAATAAACTCGCCAATACCTTGAATCATTAACGCACTTTTTGTCCAAAGGTTTGAATGAAAACAGCTACACAATTGGAAATTCGTTTACTGTGTAAGAGCCCGTCGAGGGGCACAGGGTGCGAACCTGACTAGAGAGGGTTTCGAGTGTCCTACCAAGTCCGTCACCAGGAGCGCCCGCGGCTGCCACTTCATCACTAGCTTACATGCATGAACGCACAGGCCAAGGGCTGGCAGACGCGACAGTTTGCTTTCTTGTTTCTCTCACTCTTACCTGTTTAATGGTGTCAAATCCAACACTTTCAAAAGGTGCTTGGGAACTGACTACAATGGTTTCATGTGTGTTATATCATTTTAATGGAATTGAAATGCTTAGTTTTAATTTCATTTCAAGTTTTTGCCATAGCACATGTGCTCACCAGGGAGAGAGAGGCAGAGATGGTGGGAGAGAAAGTGAGAACCCACCCCCCAGAGAAGACAGCCACACCGCAATCCCTCTCCTCCATTCTCCTCTTGCAATTTTGGACACACATGCACACGCACCTACCATGGTTTTCAAGCCGCCAGGTCCGGGACTCGAACTGCGGTGAGCCGTATGGGGGTTCAGTGCCTTAACTATTGTACCACCTGCTGGCCCCAAAGTTCTTTGCTTTTAACAGAGGCATACTAACGTACTCTACTTCTGGTAAGAAAACACCGCATGCAAGAATGAAAGCAAAGAAAATCTAACAGCGAGTTTTATTTAAAAAGCCAGAAGTCCTAGATTAATTTTTATTGATATCTGCTTCTTTCACACACACACACACCCCAACACGCACTCACACATATACACATACCCCAACACATTCTGACACACACATGCACACATCCACACACCCCAACACACACTCACACACACACACACACACCCCAATACGCACTCACACATATACACATACCCCAACACACTCTGACACACACATACACACATCCAAACACACACACCCCAACACACACTCACACACACACACACACACCCCAACTAGCACTCACACATATACACATACCCCAACACACTCTGACACACACATACACACATCCAAACACACACACCCCAACACACACTCACACACACACACACACACCCCAA